AAATCAGTAAGAGAAATAAGAAGGAGAGATCTCACCCAAAAAACAACATCCAAATCCAATTCGGAACCATTAGGGTTTCGTCCTTCCCTTTTAGATCTACGCAAGAATATGAATAATCTGCAAAAATCAGTCAAAGATCAGTAAAGAGGAGAGAAAGAAGATTCCAAAAATGTAAGAAAAATTGGATTTGGGACATCACCGCCATCGCCGCCGCCGTGAGGCGATTTCCGGCGCGACGGCATCCTCTTCTCCGACGAGAGCTTCAGAGGACGAGAGAGAACAAGTGAGAGAGGATTTGTGACCAAATGAGTCACATTTTTGTTTGTTTCATTTAAAGCTTATGGGCCAAAGCCCATTCCCTCAAACCAACACATGCCTCAACCCCCCTCATTTCCGTCCACACCCTCCATCTCTTCAAAATATCTTGAAAGTTTTTTTATATTTTGACCATAAGGCTTTGGGCTTGAAACCCAAACAGAATTCTTTTTTTTTCTTTCTCTAAACACTCTTTCTATATTTTAAACCCCCTTGACTTATTTTATTTATTTATTTTTTTCCTTTCTTCTAGTTATTATTATTAATTTACAATATTTATTTTATTAATAAAAATCTCAAAAATATTTTATTTATTTACTTATATTAAATATATTCATATTTATTTCTCTTAGACTAAAAGACCAAAATATTTTCATTTTCTTTTCTAAAATTAATTAAATTATTAGATTTAGATTTCTTCTTATTATTTATTTAGAAATTTGTTTTCTTTAAATTAATTTCTTTTACTAACTTAATTTTAATTTTCTTATTTAATTATTTTTTCTTTTAAATTAATTAGGTCAAAGCAAAAATCCATTCTTTATCCATTCATACTTGTACATTATATTCATTTCACTTCTTGTACATTATATTTACATTATTTGTACAATATTCAATTTGGTTGTAATAGGTTAATTAGGTTTATATTATTGCAATCCCCATTCATAAATTGTATACCCCCTCCCACAAATGTTGTAATAGCGTAGTAATTTTAAATTTTAGAATTTATCGCTTTTACATAATATGCTAGTAATTAGGGTTTGTATGGGAAGATAAAAATCAATCAAATAGAAAACCCTAATTCAAGACAAAAACAAACATGAAAATGACACACTTGCACACAAGCACCCCTAGGGTTATCCCACTTGGTTGCCTTATACAAAATGGTCATATTACGCATGTAAGGTATCTTAGCAAAAACAAACAAATACAAGATCATAGTCCCTCGATGATGCTATTCAAAGTTGCTTTACAAAATGATCTTAGTCCCTCAACAGAATGCTAAGATATCTTGCAACATTACTAATCATGGTTATACGATGACCCACGCCCGTCCCGTTTACATCCAAAGATAGGGTTGCTTACCAAATCAATGGTAAGACAACAATATCAAAGGAAAAGAAAATGAACAAGAAAGACATTTGAGTAGGTAGATTGCTCGTAATTACTTGCTCCATTTCAAACAAAACATCCTTTCTATTTTCAAAACAAACACCTACACATTTCAAAACATCTTACAAAATTGAAAACATTTTCAAAAGATCAACATCTTTGTATACATTCTTACGAATGAGAATCATTACAAAGATTTCCTAAACAATGGCCTCTTTTACAAAATACTTTCAAAAACCACACAAAACATAATTTTCAAACAAAAGCAAGTGATCTAGCAAGTAACTAAGAGCCCATGGAAAACCATGGATGAAAAGGGTGTTAATACCTTCCCTTTTCATAATCTACCCCCCGAACTCAAGAAAAAATCTCAAAGGTCTTTCCTGTGCTTTTTCACCTTTACTTTTGGATAAAAGAAAAGTCGACGGTGACTCTTGCTAACCGCAACATTTGCAATCAAACGCAAAACATTCAAGTCAGTTCTCCCACCGTATCACACAGAGTTTTGTTGGAAGATTTCACCGATTTAGAGAAATAAACTCCGTTGGGGGATGAACTTCCGTAGCTAGAGAAATAAACTCTATTGGGGATAAGACTTTACAAACTACTTGAGACTTATAGAACTCTGTTGTGGAAGGTGAAATCCATAAATTGCTTGGGGATTTTGTTGAAATCCTGTTGGGGAATCTCGAGAAGCTTGGCGACTTTACTGGGGAATTTTCCTCAGATGTTAAAGCGGTAGTTTGGAGATTGTTTCTTGGCCAGGGATATGAGAACCTGGCATTTTAGGCTGCATACTGAGAATGTGGCATAGACCTTATAGTAGGACATCTCTGCCTCTGTGCCTGCTGGAGAAGGTATCTGCTGGGGAAAACATCTGCGCGGATTTTATGGATGGCCCTTAGATATTGTCTCATTTCTGAAAGTCATTAGCAATTGACTTTATATTTTTAGGTGTATATTTGTAAGCATTAATTATATTCAAATACATATTTTCAAGAATAATCACTGGACGTTTTCGCACACAAAACAGGAAAATAAAAACAGACGTTTTGCACTTTCAAAGGAATAGTTTTATATTAACTTGAAATAAGCGTTTTTGTACAAGGAGACAGACATCCTAGTAAGAGAATGTCGTCATAAGAATACAAATTATACAAAATAGTATATAAAGAAAGACAACTATGTGAAATAATCCCATTGGGTTCCCATTCTGCTATTTCCTTTATGTCCTTGAGCATCTCATCACTTTCGCTGCTTGTCCGAAGCTGATTTGATTGATTAGTACCGCTTGAGCTTGATAGTTGATACTGAAGATTAGATGTAAGGTGATCCTACGGGACATACTTATACGCTTTAAATCCCTAACTTTTTCCTGGACCGCCCTTTCGGGTTTTTAGTCCACCGGGATACCCTTTTTTGCCCAAGCCGCCTTTTCAGGTTTTCGACTTGTCGGGTGTATAGATTTTTTTTTCATGTATATCCCTAATTTTTGCCCGAACCTTTTTTGGTTCGCCGAGATGCCCTTATTTTTGCCTAGGCCAGTCGACCTAGCGGGTCTTTATTTATGCGTAGTATCTTTTAACTATGTCCGCATTTACAGGGTGCAGAAGGTCGTCACCGTCCATAGTGGTTAGGATCATGGCTCCACCAGAGAATATGTTCTTGATTGTGTAGCGGTGAAAATCGGAGATCAAGCTATTAATTAACTTGACTCACAAAAGCAAGAGTCGCCACCGCGCTTTATTATTTCCAAGGGAAAAGGGAAAAGAGCGAAATAAAACCCTAAAATATGCAATGTAAAATAATACTTAAAAGTAATAAAAATACAAGGCGTTTTTGAAAAGAGATCGAGAGTTCGGGGGTTGGTTATACAATGGGAAGGTATTAGCACCCAATGCATTTGCGGTACTCCGCAGGAACCTTTTGAAATATCTGTTTTTTGGTTAAAATTGTTTGTTTGATTAAAATGGTTTATTTGGTCAAAGATGGGTATGGATGAGATTTTGAAGATACGACGACCTCGTGTCGAAGTTTTGGTTTAAAAAGAGTGTATGTTTGAAATTAGGTTTTGAGGAGATTTAACTTAAGATTTACAAAATTAAAAATGTATGAAGGGGTTCACACAATGACATGAAGTCAACAAATTAATTCTTTCCCTTGGATTAAATTGAGCGAGCAAAATAAAATAGACATCAAAATATAAGCAATCAAAATTCACAAGAAAAATAAATCTAACAAAACAGGTTAATGACCAAAAGGCACCGAAAAATTAAAATGCCAGAGATATTTAAATAAAAGAGAACGTAACTAATTATCTAAAGAAGCTATTTGAACTGAATTAAAATAATTAAGATCACTTGCTAAAATAATTCTAAACTAACTACAAGTTCTAAGAATATAAAAATAATTCTAAAAGTACTAAATTATACCTAAACTAAATTAAATTTTAAAGTTAATAAATTAAATCTAAAATAAATTAAAATCCTAATGTTGCTAAAACAAATAAAAATTTCAAAGTTGCTAAACTAAATCAAATAAAATTCTAAAGAATTACTAAACTAAATCTAAGCTAAAGAAGAATTATAAAGTTATTAAAGCTCCAAAATTACTAAATTATATCTAAACTAATTTAAATATAAACTAAATTCATTATAAAATTCCTAATTAAAATCTAAACTATATTAATAATAAAAGGAGGTGAAACATAAACTCAGAGAATTTTGAGGTGAAAATTGGGATGGGCTCAGGTTACTGGTTGAGTTGAAGCCCAAAATGTTTCAAACAAATAAAAAAACTAAGGTGTTGTTGGACCGGGGCGGGTCAGAGGATAAGGCCCATTGGATATTGGCACTACCTACATCGTTTCATCATACTGATTCCAAATCTAACCTCTATTTTCATGGATCAAACACAATTAGTGAGAAATTAAAATATGAAAAGCAAATCTGAAAATCTTGAATCAAGTATATATGACTGCAAATAATGTGAGCAAAGTTACAATTTGAAGTGTACAGATGCGAGCTCTTGGTCATGCTTCTGTTAACGGAAAGATCTTATGCTTATTAGTTAGTTCAAAACGTACCTAAAAGAATGCACAATCCGTCGCGTTCTTGCTTCTAGTTGAACGAGAGCCCAGTCAAGCCTCCGGTGATTTTGATGATGAAGAATGTAGCCTTGAATGACGGAAGCTTCTTGAACCTCTTGTGCTAATCTTGTGTTGGCGACGAAGATGAACGGAGAAGTTGTTGATTGCGTGTTGTACAGTTGGGAGATCCGAGGAAGATTGCGATTGAGGCGTTGGTGCTGGAACGGAAATGTTTACAGAGAACGGTGAAGATGAGTTTGTAGGGTTGAATTGACTTACTTGTGCTTTGAGTGCCGGTAGTTGTGGTGGTGGTGTGGACATGTTCGAAACCATTATGAGAAGGTAAATCATTTGGCTTGATCTCAGTATCTGTTACCAAAGCTTCGGGCAAACCATGAACATCCGAAGACAAATTCATGACATTTTCAGAAGTGCTCGAATGAACTTGCGGTGTGTTAACAGTTCCCAGATCAGTAGATCCATCTCAAGCACGAGATACACTTGGTTCTGTTTTTTCAAGTTCAACATTGTCTAGTGGTGGAGGCAAACATTGTGATAAATTGAGTCCGTACTGTTGAATAGCTTGTGTTTGGACACAATATATCTGCACAAGATGGTCTCCATCTGGTAAGCTATCACTAGTTCCGATAAGGCTTAGTATAGGCATTGTGACTATGAACTCGGAAATATAATCCATGCAAGTAGCAGTTGGATTGGGTCCATACTCTATATGCACAGCATATATTGTGTTTTTCTTGGCATTTGCTAGCAGAACCAAACCAGCGCGAGGCAACGCTACAACTTGATTGAAGAATGCATCCTCAGGGTTGGCTACAGAAGAACTTCTTATATCCAAAGTCTGAACACAAATCCATGATTCAGAATCATTAGGCAATAACCAGCCTTCCTCGTAACCAGATACCCATATCTTCACTTCCTGATTTAGCGGACCCGCTGTGACAAGGACGATATGATCTGGGCGGTGTGGAGCAGTCAAGAATGTCACAGAATTAACAGGTTTACCATTATGTGGTCTTAAAACAGCAAGTGGAATATGCCAAATATTTGGAACATCACAGAGAGTGAGTATGTGCTGTGAGTTGTGAGGGTGGTTTGAAGATTGGGTTTGTGATGTAAGGGGGTTGCTGGCAGTTTTACAGTGGAAATTGGGATGTGTTAGTATGCTGTTGCAGTTCGCGTGGAGAGGTTTGGGATTGCTAGTGGAAATGGAAGTAACAGGCGGGTTGTGTGTTTGCGAAACTGGAGAGTAGGTGGGTAAGGGATTGAAGGGTGGAAGTTGATGAAAGTGTGGAAGGGTTACAGAGGCGGAGGGTAATGGATTGTCGAATGGAGAAGGGGGTTATGAGAGAGAGACAAATAGAAAGGTTAGAGAGAGTAGATTACTGTTTGTTTTTTTGTTTTTTTTTTCTCTTCTTTGGTGAACTAGTTTGTGATGTTTTTATTGTGGGACTAGAAAATGAAGATAAAATATTGTTGTTGTTTTTGGTGATTTTGTATCGATCCTCAATTTCATCCAACAGCCAATAGGAATAGAGTATTGTGTGAATAATATATTTTGTGATCAAATAGTCCTTAAATGATAAAAATAACCAAAAAACTAAATGTATTAAAATTAAATCAATTAAAAATGATTTTTTTGAATATTTTATGAATAAAAAATAAAGACCCAAAATGACCGAAAATGATAAAAAAACAGACGAAAATTTATCCAAAAAAATAAAATGAACACATTAAAATAATATGCATGTCACAAAAATTAAAGAAAAAATATTCAAGAAGTCAAAAATAAAATGATAAAATATCAGGCTAATACGGACATTTACGATTAAAAACGAGACTTCAAACTATACCGAAAAAATAAAGCGAGCATACCGTCATAATCTACGCGTCATGCAGATTCATAAAATGATCGGTAAGGGGTGAAAACTATAAAAATATTTTTCTCGCTATCTTTTCGCACAATATTGAATCGCTTTTAACGGTCTGTCTATAAAACCAAAATATTTTTATTATTGGCATATAAACAACTTGGAGCACTGCAAGAAAATAGTAAACAGATAAAAATGAATGAAGTGAAACGCCGGGTATTTTACAACTGAAAGACGATGCAAACTTTGATTTAAACTGACTTTTTGATCAACTTAAATACGACTAATGATGCAAAATGTGATGAATGAAGATATTTACTAATGATCGTGACCAAATAACCAAATATGATATGAAAGTGCGACTAAAACATATTAGGGGCGAAATTAAGGGTGCAATGGTGTGCCTTGATGAATCAGCCTTCGAGAATCCATAATCAACCGTACTTCTGGCTTGGGAGACTCAAAACCTTAATTGAGGCGCGACACCTGATGCTCTTGATTCAGACCTGTCTTTGCACATGAAACAAAAGAAAACATGAACATACACCTTTGTATGCGATTAGAAATTAGTGATACATAGGCTAAAAATGTTCAAAACACTTGACAATCTTCGCATAGTCAAAGCTCGAAGGTGAGAGGTTAAAACCAACGGTATTTCGTGACCTTGACTTATCTTAAAAATGCAAAACAAAAATGGGATCTTAGGTCAAAAATTGGGGTACAACAGCTGCCCCTATTTAAGTTTCTTCTATCTGGAGATATGAAGATTGGGATCTTCATTTCGACGAGATTGAAGGGACTTAAATATAGAATACACAATTTTTGGCCTTAAGATACCGCGATTATGTTCATGATATGATATGAATGTAATGCTCTGAATTTTATGGGGAATGACGCCATATGAGACAGACTATGCTGGAGAAACCAAGCACATTATACAGTAATCCTACAGAGGAAGAGGTTGTAACTCCACTGGGGAAACAAAGTCATAGACTTCAAATGAGAGAATCTTGAATGATTTACATCAGTATTGAGACTGGAAAAGAAATGATTTACATCAGTACGAAGACTGGAAAAGGTAATGATTGACATCAGTACTGTGACTGGAAAAGAAAATGATGGACATCAGTACTGTGACTGGAGATAAACATCTCTGATTTCTGAATTTTACCAAGAATGGTAACACATTTCTTCTCTAACCAAGATATCGCTTGAAAAGGATAAAATAACAAACTTCCCCACGGGACTTTTCCGAAGGGATGCCATTTGCTGAGTAGACATTATTGTTGGGGATACACAAGCTGCTCAAATAAAGAGGCCGCCACTTGCTTCCTTTCAAAGGTGTCAATAACATACAAGCTGCTCATGAAGAGACCGCCACTTGCTGTCTTCAAAGAATATCAAAGCACACAAGCTACTCATGAAGAGTCCGACACTTGTTGCCAATAACCCACAAGCTGCTCATGAAGAGCTGCCACTTGCCATCTTCAAAGAATATCAAAGCACACAAGCTACTCATGAAGAGTCCGCCACTTGTTGCCAATAACCCACAAGCTGCTCATGAAGAGCTGCCACTTGCCATCTTCAAAGAATATTAAAGCACACAAGCTACTCATAAAGAGTCTGCCACTTGTTGCTTATAACCCACAAGCTGCTCATAAAGAAGCTGCCACTTGCCGTTTTCAAAGGAACAATAACACACAAGTTGCTCAAATAGATAAACTGCCACTTGCTGTCTTCCAAAAATACTAACGTACAAGCTGCTCATGAAGAAGCTGCCACTTGCCGTTTTCCGTACAAGTTGCTCATGAAGAGACCGCCACTTGCTGTTTTCAAAAAGTGTTGATAACATACAAGTTGTCTATGAAGAGACTGCCGCTTGCCGTTTTTAAAAGTGTTGATAACATACAAGTTGTCTATGAAGAGACTACCGCTTGCTGTTTGTCAAGAGTATCCATAACACACAAGTTGCCTCATGAAGAGACTGCCGCTTGCTGTTTTCTCTAAGGTATCAATAACATACAAGTTGCTCATGAAGAGACCGCCGCTTGATGTTTTCAAAGGTGTCAATAACATACAAGTTGCTCATGAAGAGACCGCCGCTTGATGTTTTGAAAGGTGACAGTAACACACAAGTTGCTCATGAAGAGACCGCCGCTTGCTGTTTTGTTGAAGATACTCATAAAATATCGTGAAGATATTGCTGGAGGTGAGAGCCAATAATTTTGTCGGGGATGGACAAACTGCTCATGAAGAGACCGCCATTTGTCATAAAGAAATCAGAAATAATCAAACTTCTCAAATAAAGAGTCAGTCGCTTGTTGTCATGTCGATATTCCAGAAGAAGGTTGTGATAACACTGCTGGGGAATAAAGTTCATCTTCAATGGGGAACCATGAATAAATCCTTCTTGAGGAGACCAAGTATTTACATTGCAAAATAAATGCACTCTCCATCTAGGTTTCACAGCCTAGAGAGATCCACAGGGTATCGTTCCCAAGAGACAAAGCTCAATCCAGGAATAGACTGGAGGGAAAACAGTCAAACAAGACTCCATCCAATGAGGAAACAACTCAAATGGGGATTTATCCTATCCAGAGATGGAAAAGGAAAGCTGAAGCAAGATTCTTCCACGAGAGTTAACTCAGTGGGGAATTAGAAAGGAGGCGCACTTTATGCTTAAGTTGACACTCTATTTGGAAAGATCAAATATGTTATTTGAATAGACATAACCAAGGTGTACGAACTCAAAGACATCAACAAATACAACTGTGCATGCATGATGCAAGTGTGAATAAATGAATGTCATGTATATGCTGACAAAACAGACAGGGGAGATGGACAGAAAATGATAAGACATCACAGTACAACTCGACACCCGGCTAATCTCAACATGATGGTAACATTACTGGAGATAGAAAACAAAAGCCATCATTGGAGCAAAGTCCTTTTACAAGGCTTAAATATCTCTGGAGAGGAAGATATTTTCAGGTAGAAAACCCATAGTCCAGTCTTCTATTGTCGACAATCCATTGAAAGGATAACAACACAAACAATGTTTCAGCTGGAAAAAGTCATGCTTAGCTAGAGATACTGGGAACACCACCCTCTGATAATGTGTGCAAAACATATCTTGACAAATCCGGATTGCCCCTGGGATTAATTTTGGATGCCCCCAAGTTTACTGCTGATAAGCTGCGTGATGCACGATAATTCTTGCAAATAACTTCACTTCTAAAAAATGCCCCAAGCTATATGGCTGATGAGGAGAAATCGTCTCAAGAGGATTTTACAAAAGACCTGGCATTCACCATGCTCTGGTGTCTTCAAACTCTTAGAGGAATTCATCAAATCTCGACGTGATTGCCCCGGATTGACTGTAGTTGGCACAACAAAGTTTTCAAATTGTACCCCAATAAGGGGTAAAGAAATTGGGAAAACATTAACCGGGAGAAGCAACATGTTCGTGCTTACGGTCTTCAGGTGACATGTCCCTGGATACGATTTTTCTTGAAATGATTCGCCAATTACTCAACATAGTTTCAGGCCTTAAAAGAATAAACTCATCACTGGTTCTTATGTGAGCCTCCTTGATATCAAACAAATGTTTTGCAGTTAGAAAAAGTTTACAATGAGAATGAAAATTCTAATGCAACAGTTATGTAAGTCTTGAAGATTTTGAAAGATATCGCACAAATTTTGCGAGTTAAAGCACCATTTATTTTTGTATAGGAAAAACATATGATACCAACATAACTATTTAGAACATTCATGGGAGTCAGGAACACTATCTCATTGAAGTATGCTTTCAAAATAACCTTGTTTCAATTAGGACTTTTGAAGGTTGTAACGTGGCCTGGTTCATGGTTTTTTAGAAAAAAGATTTTAAGGCTCAAAATATTTGGTGCCCACCCATTCTTCATGATGTTCTCCAACCCTATGTTCAGTTAATTCAACATGAGTGTTCATCTCTCAAAAGAATTTTGTGACGGTCAAGGAAACGACGAGGCTTTCGGAGTAGAAACCACCCTCATGTCTTCGTGTTTGTAGTCACCAATTTGTTCTTTGCTGAGGACTTTTCTTTGTAGTCCTTTTCTTTGTGATTTTATTTTCCCTAACTTTTGCCTGAACTAATTCTTTTGAATTGATGGTCCAGCGGGATGCCTTAATTTTGCCTAAGTCACACGTTTTCATGTTTTTTTTGACTTAGCAGGCTTTTCTTTTTCTTGATTTTTGACTTTTTGAACAAAATGTGTGACATTAGCTTGTCTTTGCTTGTTGAGAGGATTGTGATTGCCTCGTTTCTTGATGAATGAGGGATAATATTGTGGTTCCACATCCTCTAGATTCATTATACATGAAGGATAGCCCTTGTAGTTTCTCTTCAAAAAACATCTTCCTTATGAATTTTGAACACTCAGTCAGATTAACTAAAAACTACCCTGCCCCAGGTTAAAATTCAAGGTTTTTTCGTATAGAAAAGAAACTTCTGCTTCAAAGGCTCAAAAGGGGTTAGCAAGGGATTATCTTCCTTATATCTCCAGTGTTTAGGGATTTGAAACAATGCTTGTACATCATCAGCAAGATTTTATCCAAAAGCAAACAACCAGAGATTTTGTGTTCTTTAGATCATCATCCTCCCTTCAATCTCTGCCTAGGCAAGAGAATGGGCAACAAGTTGGTATCATAATGCAAAAAGAAATTTAAAATTTGAAAACAAATATGAGTGAAACGAATGAATTTCTTCAAGACAAACATACTCATTGTATTAAGATAATCATTCAGATGCAAACAAGTTCTTACATGCAAACAATGTTTTGATAAACAAGAAAAGTTACAAAAAGCAGAAATAAGTTAATGATCGGGGAAGGCTTTCCATCTGGACTTGAATCACCGAAAACATCCTTCAAAAATCAAAGTCACCATCAATCATGTTTACTCTTCGGCGCATGCTTGATTTGAACTTCAAAACCAACGTCCTTGAATGACAAGATACCATTTCTGACCAACTTCTGAACCTCAATCTTCAAAGCAAAGCAACCCTCCAAGTCATGCCCAGGAGCACCTTGATGAAAGGTACAAGCCAAATCAGCTTTGTAGTACCAATGTATCTTTTCAGGAACCTTCGGTGGAGGTCGAGTCTGAACCAAATTCCTCTGCATCAGGACGGGAAACAACTCCGTATAGGTAATTGGAATTGGATCAAACTGGGTTTTCCTCTGATTAGGGACTTGCTGATTCTGTTGATGAATAGGAGAAACATGATGATTCTGACGACGATTATTTCTTCTTATGGTTCTCTTCTTGGAAAAGTTATTATCAAACTTCTTCACACCATTAGCTGAGCTACCATCTTCATATGAACATCCCTTCCCAACATCTTCTTCTAGACGCACTCCCACATTCACCTTGTCAGGAAAGTCATTAGGTGCATTAACCATCCCCTTCTCATGAGGGAATGATTTTAGAGTTTCAGTGAAGACTTTTATCATCACTTCCTCCCTCCTAGAAGGATTGACTTGGGCGGCAACCAGAATTTCAACCAAAACAGTTGAGTGATCCATACCAGCTTTCAAAATAGTCATCTCTCTACGGAGTTCAGAAACCTCTTGCTTGATATTCTCCATTGTCCTCTTAGCGCGAGTGTTGTACTAGTGAGACTGAAGGAAAAAATAAGACTTGGAAAAAGACCTTTGAAAGAGAAACAAAAAATGTAGAATGATACATGATATGCAAAAGAGAGTTTTTATTTGACTTTCAAAGAACTCAAGATATTAAGTTGTAAACATCAAAGTATGAAGATAGAAGATGAATTTTAAATTGGCTCCAAACATTGATCAAGTTATCATCAAGATCAGTCATCCATTTTGGTGGATTAGGGTTTTCGCCCTATCAACACCCAAGATCCATTGAGCTTGGCGAAACTTGTGATGTTTACAAAGAAAGACCTCCAAATTCCTTCAAAGTCAAGTGAAAAGGGTTTTATGGATGCATGAATGCATGGCTATGCAACAACCACAAGCAAGGTCACAAATAAAGTCGAAAGGTTCAACGTCACGAGCATGGAGTCAAGATAAGGAACACCCCCAAGGTATGTACTAACGGTTTAATCACACCTGTAGAACAAGGTTCTAAGAGTTCCCGGAGTCTACATTCCTCCTTCGGATATTACCAACGTCTTGATTACTCAATAATCAGCAATATTCTCAAGAGAAACTCATCCGAGCGTAGCATCGCGTAACAATTACTTCCGGATTACTCCGTTATAATCTCCGCGCTACACCTAAAAGGCCAAGATGGGTTAGGGTTCTACGGTTCCCAGCTTCTCTGGCTCCCAGGTCGAAAATAATAATGTCTTCCCGATTACTCGGTAAACAAATATTACGTTCAAAAGGGCCTTCCACTGAGTGGGGGATCTCATGCCTCCTTCTTCAGGATTACTCCCTCAAAGTTAACATGACTATACCGCCCGTCCTATTCCTAAGTGTAACTTAGTCCGGGTATAGGACTTGTCCTTTGTAAATATTATCAACACCCAAATAATCATAATATATACATATAATCAAACAATCAAATAATGATAAAACAGATAAAACATATTAGGCTTAACCCACTTAGGGATGGACCAGCAAGAGGTCAATCTTTCCCCAGCAGAGTTGTCAATTCTGTAGCGGTGAAAATCGGAGATCAAGCTATTAATTAACTTGACTCACAAAAGCAAGAGTCGCCACCGCGATTTATTATTTCCAAGGGAAAAGGGAAAAGAGCGAAATAAAACCCTAAAATATGCAATGTAAAATAATACTTAAAAGTAATAAAAATACAAGGCGTTTTTGAAAAGAGATCGAGAGTTCGGGGGTTGGTTATACAATGGGAAGGTATTAGCACCCAATGCATCTGCGGTACTCCGCAGGAACCTTTTGAAATATCTGTTTTTTGGTTAAAATTGTTTGTTTGATTAAAATGGTTTATTTGGTCAAAGATGGGTATGGATGAGATTTTGAAGATACGACGACCTCGTGTCGAAGTTTTGGTTTAAAAAGAGTGTATGTTTGAAATTAGGTTTTGAGGATATTTAACTTAAGATTTACAAAATTAAAAATGTATGAAGGGGTTCACACAATGACATGAAGTCAACAAATTAATTCTTTCCCTTGGATTAAATCGAGCGAGCAAAATAAAATAGACATCAAAATATAAGCAATCAAAATTCACAAGAAAAATAAATCTAACAAAACAGGTTAATGACCAAAAGGCACCGAAAAATTAAAATGCCAGAGATATTTAAATAAAAGAGAACGTAACTAATTATCTAAAGAAGCTATTTGAACTGAATTAAAATAGTTAAGATCACTTGCTAAAATAATTCTAAACTAACTACAAGTTCTAAGAATATAAAAATAATTCTAAAAGTACTAAATTAGACCTAAACTAAATTAAATTTTAAAGTTAATAAATTAAATCTAAAATAAATTAAAATCCTAATGTTGCTAAAACAAATAAAAATTTCAAAGTTGCTAAACTAAATCAAATAAAATTCTAAAGAATTACTAAACTAAATCTAAGCTAAAGAAGAATTATAAAGTTATTAAAGCTCCAAAATTACTAAATTATATCTAAACTAATTTAAATATAAACTAAATTCATTATAAAATTCCTAATTAAAATCTAAACTATATTAATAATAAAAGGAGGTGAAACATAAACTCAGAATTTTGAGGTGAAAATTGGGATAGGCTCAGGTTACTGGTTGAGTTGAAGCCCAAAATGTTTCAAACAAATAAAAAAACTAAGGTGTTGTTGGACCGGGGCGGGTCACAGGATAAGGCCCATTGGATATTGGCACTACCTACATCGTTTCATCATACTGATTCCAAATCTAACCTCTATTTTCATGGATCAAACACAATTAGTGAGAAATTAAAATATGAAAAGCAAATCTGAAAATCTTGAATCAAGTATATATGACTGCAAATAATGTGAGCAAAGTTACAATTTGAAGTGTACAGATGCGAGCTCTTGGACATGCTTCTGTTAACGGAAAGATCTTATGCTTATTAGTTAGTTCAAAACGTACCTAAAAGAATGCACAATCCGTCGCGTTCTTGCTTCTAGTTGAACGAGAGCCCAGTCAAGCCTCCGGTGATTTTGATGATGAAGAATGTAGCCTTGAATGACGGAAGCTTCTTGAACCTCTTGTGCTAATCTTGTGTTGGCGACGAAGATGAACGGAGAAGTTGTTGATTGCGTGTTGTACAGTTGGGAGATCGGAGGAAGATTGCGATTGAGGCGTTGGTGCTGGAACGGAAATGTTTACAGAGAACGGTGAAGATGAGTTTGTAGGGTTGAATTGACTTACTTGTGCTTTGAGTGCCAGTAGTTGTGGTGGTGGTGTGGACATGTTCGAAACCATTATGAGAAGGTAAATCATTTGGCTTGATCTCAGTATCTGTTACCAAAGCTTCGGGCAAACCATGAACATCCGAAGACAAATTCATGACATTTTCAGAAGTGCTCGAATGAACTTGCGGTGTGTTAACAGTTCCCATATCAGTAGATCCATCTCAAGCACGAGATACACTTGGTTCTGTTTTTTCAAGTTCAACATTGTCTAGTGGTGGAGGCAAACATTGTGATAAATTGAGTCCGTACTGTTGAATAGCTTGTGTTTGGACACAATATATCTGCACAAGATGGTCTCCATCTGGTAAGCTATCACTAGTTCCGATAAGGCTTAGTATAGGCATTGTGACTATGAACTCGGAAATATAATCCATGCGAGTAGCAGTTGGATTGGGTCCATACTCTATATGCATAGCATATATTGTGTTTTTCTTGGCATTTGCTAGCAGAACCAAACCAGCGCGAGGCAACGCTACAACTTGATTGAAGAATGCATCCTCAGGGTTGGCTACAGAAGAACTTCTTATATCCAAAAGTCTGAACACAAATCCATGATTCAGAATCACTAGGCAATAACCAGCCTTCCTCGTAACCAGATACCCATATCTTCACTTCCTGATTTAGCGGACCCGCTGTGACAAGGACGATATGATCTGGGCGGTGAGGAGCAGTCAAGAACGTCACAGAATTAACAGGTTTACCATTATGTGGTCTTAAAACAGCAAGTGGAATATGCCAAATATTTGGAACATCACAGAGAGTGAGTATGTGCTGTGAGCTGTGAGGGTGGTTTGAAGATTGGGTTTGTGATGTAAGGGGGTTGCTGGCAGTTTTACAGCGGAAATTGGGATGTGTTGGTATGTTGTTGCAGTTCGCGTGGAGAGGTTTGGGATTGCTAGCGGAAATGGAAGTAACAGGCGGGTTGTGTGTTTGCGAAACTGGACAGTAGGTGGGTAAGGGATTGAAGGGTAGAAGTTGATGAAAGTGTGGAAGGGTTACAGAGGCGGAGGGTAATGGATTGTCGAATGGAGAAGCGGGTTATGAGAGAGAGACAAATAGAAAGGTTAGAGAGAGTAGATTACTGTTTGTTTTTTTGTTTTTTTTTTCTCTTCTTTGGTGAACTAGTTTGTGATGTTTTTATTGTGGGACTAGAAAATGAAGATAAAATATTGTTGTTGTTTTTGGTGATTTTGTATCGATCCTCAATTTCATTCAACAGCCAATAGGAATAGAGTATTGTGTGAATAATATATTTTGTGATCAAATAGTCCTTAAATGATAAAAATAACCAAAAAACTAAATGTATTAAAATTAACTCAATTAAAAATGATTTTTTTGAATATTTTATGAATAAAAAATAAAGACCCAAAATGACCGAAAATGATAAAAAAACGGACGAAAATTTATCCGAAAAAATAAAATGAACACATTAAAATAATCTGCATGTCACAAAAATTAAAGAAAAAATATTCAAGAAGTCAAAAATAAAATGATAAAATATCAGGCTAATACGGACATTTACGGTTAAAAACGAGACTTCAAACTATACCGAAAAAATAAAGCGAGCATACCGTCATAATCTACGCGTCATGCAGATTCATAAAATGATCGGTAAGGGGTGAAAACTTGAAATATTTTTCTCGCTATCTTTTCGCACAATATTGAATCGCTTTTAACGGTCTGTCTATAAAACCAAAATATTTTTATTATTGACATATAAACAACTTGGAGCACTGCAAGAAAATAGTAAACAGATAAAAATGAATGAAGTGAAACGCCGGGTATTTTACAACTGAAAGACGATGCAAACTTTGATTTAAACTGACTTTTTGATCAACTTAAATACGACTAATGATGCAAAATGTGATGAATGAAGATATTTACTAATGATCGTGACCAAATAACCAAATATGATATGAAAGTGCGACTAAAACATATTAGGGGCGAAATTAAGGGTGCAACGGTGTGCCTTGATGAATCAGCCTTCGAGAATCCACAATCAACCGTACTTCTGGCTTGGGAGACTCAAAACCTTAATTGAGGCGCGACACCTGATGCTCTTGATTCAGACCTGTCTTTGCACATAAAACAAAAGAAAACATGAACATACACCTTTGTATGCGATTAGAAATTAGTGATACATAGGCTAAAAATGTTCAAAACACTTGACATTCTTCGCATAGTCAAACCTCGAAGGTGAGAGGTTAAAACCAACCGTATTTCGTGACCTTGACTTATCTTAAAAATGCAAAACAAAAATGGGATCTTAGGTCAAAAATTGGGGTACAACAGCTGCCCCTATTTAAGTTTCTTCTATCTGGAGATATGAAGATTGGGATCTTCATTTCGACGAGATTGAAGGGACTTAAATATAGAATACACAATTTTTGGCCTTAAGATACCGCGATTATGTTCATGATATGATATGAATGTAATGCTCTGAATTTTATGGGGAATAACGCCATATGAGACAGACTATGCTGGAGAAACCAAGCACATTATACAGTAATCCTACAGAGGAAGAGGTTATAACTCCACTGGGGAAACAAAGTCATAGACTTCAAATGAGAGACTCTTGAATGATTTACATCAGTATTGAGACTGGAAAAGAAATGATTTACATCAGTAAGAAGACTGGAAAAGGTAATGATTTACATCAGTATTGTGACTGGAAAAGAAAATGATGGACATCAGTACTGTGACTGGAGATAAACATCTCTGATTTCTGAATTTTACCAAGAATGGTAACACATTTCTTCTCTAACCAAGATATCGCTTAAAAAGGATAAAATAACAAACTTCCCCACGGGACTTTTCCGAAGGGATGCCATTTGCTGAGTAGACATTATTGTTGGGGATACACAAGCTGCTCAAATAAAGAGGCCGCCACTTGCTTCCTTTCAAAGGTGTCAATAACATACAAGCTGCTCATGAAGAGACCGCCACTTGCTGTCTTCAAAGAATATCAAAGCACACAAGCTACTCATGAAGAGTCCGACACTTGTTGCCAATAACCCACAAGCTGCTCATGAAGAGCTGCCACTTGCCATCTTCAAAGAATATCAAAGCACACAAGCTACTCATGAAGAGTCCGCCACTTGTTGCCAATAACCCACAAGCTGCTCATGAAGAGCTGCCACTTGCCATCTTCAAAGAATATTAAAGCACACAAGCTACTCATAAAGAGTCTACCACTTGTTGCTTATAACCCACAAGCTGCTCATAAAGAAGCTGCCACTTGCCGTTTTCAAAGGAACAATAACACACAAGTTGCTCAAATAGATAAACTGCCACTTGCTGTCTTCCAAAAATACTAACGTACAAGCTGCTCATGAAGAAGCTGCCACTTGCCGTTTTCCGTACAAGTTGCTCATGAAGAGACCGCCACTTGCCGTTTTCAAAAAGTGTTGATAACATACAAGTTGTCTATGAAGAGACTGCCGCTTGCCGTTTTTAAAAGTGTTGATAACTGTAGCGATAAAAAATGTAGCGGGGTAAATCGGAGATCGAATTATTAATTAATTCGTCTCACAAAAGCAAGAGTCGCCACCGCGCTTTATTGTTTCCAAAGGAAAAGGGAAAAGAGCGAAATAAAACCCTAAATATGCAATGTAAACAATACTTTTGAAAAGTAATGAAAATACAAGGCGTTTTTGAAAAGAGATCTTATGGTTCGGGGGTTGGTTATACAATGGGAAGGTATTAGCACCCAATGCATCTATAGTACTATATAGGAACCTTTTGAAATATCTGTTTTATTTAAAATTGATCGCTTGATTGAAAATAAATCGTTTTGGCCGAAAAGGGATACGGACGGGTTTTTGAAGATACGACGACCTAATGTCGAAGTTTTTGCTTAAAAGGTATAAGTCTTGGAGAGGTTGAAATTTCGAAGTAAGGTGAACGTTTGAGGAAAAATTATCCTAAGTTTTAATGAAATGCGAAAATTTGCGCAGTTAGATTTGGAGACATGAAGTCAACAAATTTACTGTTTTTTCCTTTGGAGTTTAAACAAACCGAATAAACAAAAATATACGAACAAAAAATATGCGAATAACAATTAAATAGCAATAATCTAAATGATGGAATAAAAGATGCGACCAATGCGTTTTTATGATTTTTTTGTTTAATGTTAACGGGAAGAAAGTATTTTAAATTTTTTACGCATTTTTTGATAAGGATAATTCAAAAGAATTATTTAATGAGGACGTGACATTTTTTAGTTTTAAGTTATTGAGTCTTTTATATTTTTGATATTAATATTAAGATAACAAAATATTTTTTAGTTTTCTATTCTTATGCCTTTTATTATAAAAAAAATTATTTTAGGAATTCTTTAGATTAAATTAAAACTCAATATTACTAACTAAAATCTAATTTTTAAAAGATATTAAGATTATTAAATCTTGAAAGTTTGAATTAATAAAATGGCCTATTATTAAAAAAAAACTTTAGATTATATCTTTTATTTTTTGGTTAACTAAATTACAAATAAAACTATAAGATTCTAAGAGGTAGTCAAAAATAATTAAAAAAATTAAGAGGAGGTGAGTAAATAAATCAGAATGGGCTAGAGGGTTGGGATAAGGCCCAAGGCAAAATGAGGACAGAGGGGGGGTGTACAAGGATTCGTGGGCTTAAGCTGGGAGTAAAGGGTGGCCCAAGAGATTATACAGCATTAGGGTTAATCTTGTTTTGTAAAATTGGGATTTAGGGTTATCATGAGGCAGAAACGGCGCCTCCCTCTTCTTCACGATCTTCATCTTCTTCGCCATGCTTCTTCATCCTCGCCACCGGACTTGAGGTTTCTCTTTGCCACGGCCACCCACTCTTGGCCCTTCTTCCTTCCACCGAACAAGAAACGAGACGGCTAGACGGAGACGGTAAGCGCGCGTTTGATTTGTTAACATTCGATTCGGTTTTTTTTTGCATGTTGATTCGATGATTTGTATTATGTTTGATCTTGATTGAGTCTTATATTGATTGTTCATGCTGATTTGAGGGCATTCGAAGAGAATAAAAGGGATAAGAGCGTTACCTAGGTAGAGGCGGAGGACGAGCTAGGGGTGACGGAGGCCGGGCGGCGAGGAGAGGG